GTGCACGTTTTAAATGCCTTCACTCTCAGATTTATGAGAGTGAAGGCATTTAAACCTGTGTGTCACCTTCACTTGATAATGTAATGGGAAGATGATGGCTATCATTCTGTCATGGGAGAGTGCAACCAGATTTAGAGGTTCCATTGAAAGGGAGGCATAGCAGAATGCCATTGTAGGAGATGTAGGGATTTTGTAAACTTCCTTGACAACAAATAAGAATGTGTTTTATATGTTCATATAAAAGATATTACCAACTTCCTTCTTTGTTCATGTTGCTCTCACACAAACAAACTACATTATTAATATGCTGTAGTTAACTACACTATTACATACAGTAATTATTTCTGTATTGTGCTTTCTTTTAAATTGTTTTGACTTCAGTAAACATTCTAAAACAGCAGTTATTTTATTATATGATACAATGAACTATTCTCAGATATTTGTTTGTTATGATTAAATAAATATAAGATTTGCAACTGTTGTTTTAACTAATGCAAAAGGACCAATACAACAAATATAGTTTTTTTTTTTTTTCTTGGAATTCTAGACTCTCCTCTGATTTTAAGCAACTTTTTTTTTTACTGATTCTTTGATTTCTTGTGTATGCAGAACATAAATGATTGGGTTTAATGTGGGAGGAATAACAGAGGGCAAAGACAAATTTACATTCCTGCAATTTGGACCTGTGCGTAAGGTAAAGGTGATTATAAATGGGAGAAAATAGACTGCTAATAATGAAAGATGAGCTATGCAGGCTTTAAAAGCCTTCACCCTTTCCCAAACTGTGGCCACTTTAGTCAAAGCACAGCCAATATAGATGTACGTAAATAAGATGATACACATGATAGTGCAGAGGGAAGCTGACAGCTACTGTATCATTCTGTCATAGGCATGTGCAACCAGGTTAAGAGCCTGCATCGGAAGGCAGGTGTAGCAGAAAAACATGAATGTCAAGCAGTTGTTGTAAGAGAGTATATAACCCGGTTTTCATCAAACTCAGTTTGACAGTTCTAGGTGAAAGGTTAACCAATCAGAAGCGTTGTCCCGCCCCCTCTCCCCCCAACCCTGTTCACCCACTTCTCAGCATCCAGGCATTTGCTGTCCTCCTCACGGCTGAATCTAAAAAATAAAAGACAGTATAGACCAGCACAAACAGTTAGAGTAGTGGATATTTTGGCTTCCGTTCCAGTTGAATTTGGTACATGCCCCTTGTGCACACATGAGGCCATGTCAAATCAACAAAACAACATGATAGAATGGTGATCAGAAGCCCACGGCTTGTGATTATGAATCAGAAGGCATTTGAATATTACCTAGAAATATCACACTGGGCTTGACAAATCATTCTTTGGCCTAAATTATGTAAAATGATGGTTGAATGTAGTTAAAATCGCATTCGATATTACGGTGGTGTTTTGCTATCTGGGCTTCTTGTGGTGGCATTCAGTCAGGCGGGTAGGGCGGTTGAACAGATATTTAGCTCCTGGTGTGAAACAGCTAGGTTTTAAAAAATACACACAGTCAATATGTAAGGGGGTTGAGGTGAATACCGGGCAGATATTGAGTTTCAAAAAGGAGACCTCTGCTCCTGAGGTATTTATTGTTGGGGTAATTCTGTAAAAAAATGGTTAAAACAGACCACTAACACCATATGTTTGTCATTAGGCAAAAAGCTGTGTTTTTCCTGACAGACAGGTGCAAAGACCCCTGGGGTTAAATACTTTCACAGCTGCTCACTCCCCTCTCACACTATCCGCTTTATATACAGCTCAGCTTTTCTGCCAGCGTTATACCTCTGAGAAAAATCGCTTCCTTCAGTCTGCAGCCCTGTAATAATGAGAGAGAGAAATAGCTTCATTGAGCGGTGCTGTTGAACGGCTTTATGGCGTTATTTCTAATGTACCCGTGATGCTGACCGAGGAGGGCGGTTATTTACGGGCTCCAAAAAAAGCGACAATGCAGCTCTGCAGAATTCAAAAGCCGCCAACCGCTTCTCTCAGAGGCGAACTGAAATTATGTACCGCATGTGTTGGTTATGTATACCAGTACATGACGGGGGAATTGGCTCTGTATCAGCTGAGGGAGGGTGAGACTTTCACCCCTGAAACTCTGAGAACAACGCTGACTGCGGGCGACTGGGGTGTCATGACGCGCATTGTTATGGAGCATCTGAATGAATGTTACCAAGATGATGAGGAAGAGCAAGAGGAGGAGGAGGAGTACGAGGAAGATGAGGATGAAGATAAGGAGAACCGAGATCCAACGAACAAGAAACGCAAGTATCCAGGAGAACAGCCTGAAGATAGCACTCAGGACCAGCTGACTAAAGTAATGATGCAGAGCGATAGAGCCGCTGCTGCAGGCCCCAGCAACCAACAGGCAAGACTCGATTCCAGGGTGTTTAAAGCTGTTTGGGAGACAAACGGGACCAATTCTGGCAAGTGGTACTACAAGATCATAGCGCAGGGACTCGGTCATAAAAATGGCACAATGAAGATGTATAGATTTAACACTGAGTGTGGCGTATTTCAGGAAACTATGAACCTGCTGTGCATAACCTGGATAGAGATTTTTAACAAGTGGGGAGATGAAATTAGCTCATTATTCAGGGCTAACCAGCAGTGGCAGGAGATCGTGGTGCTAAAAAAAGTCCTGTTTCCCTAGCTACACCCCTTGCAGCCCCACCACTCCTCCTCCTCAGCCCCCTCTGCAATAAATAGCCGACACTCCGCAAACTCTTTGGGTCTTATCATCTCCAGCAGCAGCTATGAATCCTTCCGACACTGAAAAAGCGGCTCCTCAGTCCTCTTCCTCCTCCTCCACAGACACCGAGTGGGAGTATCTAAACCAACCTGTCAGCAGCAGCAGCGAAGACGAGGGCGAGTGGGAGTCAGATGGCAGCGGTAGCCCTGAGCCACAGGTGCAAGAGGAGACCGGTCAGAGCAGCTCAGGTACCACTACGCCTGATCTGGAAGTGGGAGACTGCAGCCAGCGCAGCGCTGGCAGCGGGTCTGAGCACATGGATGAGACTAGCCCTGAGCCGCAGGTGGACGAGACCAGCCGGCACAGCGCTGACACCACCCCTGAGCAGGTGCAGGAGAGCAAAGGGTCTCCTGAGTAGCAGAACGATGTAACACCGATGGACCACGAGGAGAGCAACAGCCAGAGCGTTGAGATTGTGGAGGAAATGGTTCACTCCCTTCTACACCCCAGTACGGACCTCGAGACCATCCGCGAGGAGGACCAGCTGGATGGGAGTATGCTCAAACTGTTTTCCGACATTGTTAGGTGCTTTGTCACCCGCATCCTCCACACTGCAATCAGGGAGCACAACGAATATCTGTGCAATGGCTGCAAGATCTCTCACGGGAGCCAGAAGCAGCACACTTGCTTATTTGGCATCCCAAACAATTTTTTACGCAAGCATTATGACGATTTGGAGAAAAGGGTCTTGACAGAGCAATTTCTGGTTGCTGCCTCACAATTGCTGGAGAAATATAACATCCGTGTCTCTGAGGAAAAGATCAGACACGCTGCAGAATCTACTCTACTGGGGCTGAGAGGTTGTAAGAATCTTGAGAAAACATCTGACCACACTGTGGCTAACTGGGTGGGTGATTCTGTTTTAAAAATAATATATTTGCAAGAGGCTGAGAAGATGTGGGCTGGAGAAGAGTGGGAAGGTGTAGAATAAGAGTGGAATCTGCATGGTGTGTGAAAAGCATTTATTATTTTAGACTAGTTTTGATGCATGTAATGTTTTTAATTTCCTTATAACTAGTGTTGTTTACATATTATCCTTTTGTTGTGTGAAAAGTATTTATTATTTTGCCAAGTTGTTCTTAGGGGTAATAACTGATGCTTGTCTATATATTATTCTTTTTGCTGCTGTGTGCGTTAAATAAAGTTTCATCCTTTTTTAAAAAAACCTCTCATCTTTGAATGAAAATACACACTCTTATATAGTAAGGTGTAAAAGAGAATACGGGTCAGAGAATAAGATTATGTTGAAGGTAAAACATGGCTCCTAAACTTGAGACTTTAATGAAAAAAATTTATTATGATCCTGGTCACCCTGGATCATACGGGGGTGTCCAGGCTTTACACAGGGGGTTAGAACAGACCACAGGCAAGAAAATAGACATTGCTTGTGTCAAACAATTTCTAGCAACGCAGGACGCATATACTTTGCATAAACCAGTAAGGATTCATTTCCAAAGAAATAGAGTGTTCGTCTCTCGACCCCTCAAACAATTTCAAGCAGATCTTTGTGACATGCAGGCAGTTTCTGCCTTTAATAACGGAAATAAATTTCTCCTCACTGTAATAGATGTATTTACAAAGAAAGCGTATGTTAGACCCATTAAACTAAATCAGGAAAAGAGGTGACAGACGCTTTTGCTTCGATCCTAGCGGAAAGCGGCGTTCCAAAGCTGCTGCAGACTGATCAAGGAACGGAATTTTACAACAAGCCTTTTAAGGCTCTCCTGAAAAAGCATGCTATCGAGCACTTTAGCACAGCCAGTGAAGTAAAAGCCTCGGTGATTGAGCGGTACAACAAAACCTTGAAACAGAAAATATACAGATACTTTACAGCTAAAAACACCCTGAAATATTTGGATGTGTTGCAGCAAAATGTACAGAGTTATAATAACTCTTATCATTCCAGCATTAAAATGGCACCTGCTCATGTTACCTCTGAAAACGCACTGACTGTTTTTCAAAATCTTTACGGCTCGTTCCCTGTACGACACAAAGAGAAGCTAAGGATGAATTTTAAAGTTGGAGATATGGTTAGAATCTCAAAATTAAGGCACGTATTCTCAAAAAAATACACGCAGGGATTCAGCAACGAATTATTTAAAATAACGGAGTGTGTTCCCAGGATACCGCCTGTCTACAAACTCAGCGATTATGATAATGAACCAGTGCAGGGATCCTTTTATGAACCCGAGCTGCAGAAAGTTATAATTTCCAAAGACAAAACATATCACGTGGTAAAGATTTTGAGTAAACGCACAATAAACGGAGTTCTGCATTTTTTGGTTAAGTGGAAGCACTGGCCCGACAAGTTTAACAGTTATGTGAAAGCATCGGATGTGGTAAACGTGTGAAATGTGGATAGCTCCGCAGGATTTTATATGAGTCTGCCCTCAAACGCGAGTGCAGATGTCTTTAAAGATAACACACCAGCTCAATTTAGAACGGATCTAGCGTGCCCCTTGGATTTAAAGGGCAGCTGGGAGGTAGCTCTCACTGATCTCTGCTATCCAAAAACATGGTTCAACATACCTCTGGGGGGAGATAGATTTTATTGGCAGGACACGTGGCAACACGGCGTGCCAGAGAGAGCGGAGATTCCTCTTCCTGCCGATGAGAAAAAATACAAAGTGCACAACGAATGGCTGGGGCGAGGAGTTTACACCAGAGAAAGCATTCTGAATCAATTGAACATCCATCTAAAAAGAATGTGACATTAGTAATCATTATGAACGTTATACACACGATCTAATATGGACAGGGAGCGGCCGCTACACACTTAAATTTGCAGCCCCCTTAAATTACATACTAGGCGTGAAGAAAAACGAATGGTTTACCGGAGGCCCAGGGCCGAACCACTCGCCACATCCTACGGATTTAAAAGCTGGTTTTTATCACATCTATATTTATTCCGATATAGTGAGCCACCAGCTTGTTGGTGATACCGCAGCTCCTCTGGTAACAACGGAAGGAGAGCACGGAGACCTTACTACAAAAATTTTTAATCCTCCACACTATCTTCCTCTGGCAAAGAACCACACTGACACAGTTTATATAAAGTTAAAGACTGACCAAAACTCCCCAGTGCATTTCACATACAAAAAAACAATAATAACGTTACATTTCAGACCCTGTGAAAAAACATGACCACGCAGGTGTACAAAGCTGATCCGTATAGATTTATATCCTATTATGAGCACCAAGCGGGCGCAGGGATTTCAGGATTTAGCAGCTCGAGTGTGCAATATGGCAGGGGGA